GTAGTGTGAGTCCTCCAACTTTATTCTTCTTCTTCAGTAGTGCTTTACTTATTCGGGGCTTCTTCCCTTTCCATAGAAAGGTAATGATTAGTTTTTCCATCTCTTTGAAGAATGTTGTTGGTATTTGGATTGGGATTGTGTTGTTAGAAGCAGAATCTTTGATGTGGTGAAAAATGTGAAATTGTTCACTACGGATGATTCGGTAAGCAAGTTAAGCACCGTGTTTATGTTGCCTGTTGGATAATCCACACCTGATAAACAGCCTTGGAAACCCTATGGGGCAGTTTTACTTTGTCCTATAGGATTGCTACGAGTTGGAACTGACTCAACGGCAACACTTTTTTTTTTTTTTTATGAGATTACATAGGTGAAAGCGCTTAGCTATAAAATGCCCTTGTAGTATGGCAGTAGGAATCAATTCCGCGGTCTCAGCCCAAAAGATACAAAATCCAGTATGTGACTGTCTCCGTCCCTGTTGGCATCAGGCTGTTTGTATGTTTACGGTATATCCTTTGAACTGTCAGTACATGTGAGTCAGTCAAACATTTCCTACCACTGTGCAGAGCAGGAAATAAAGGGTTCCCCTGGCAAGCCGTGGCCTACACCCCCAAAACCATTACCATCCACAGGTTCCTAAGACCATACGCCCAGAACAAGGTACCCAACCACAACCTTCTCTACCTGCAACATCCCTTTCTGCACCCCTGCTCAAGTGATTTCACTAAGAATGATACTTGAATAGGGTCCGAAAGCAAGAGTGAAAATGTGCTGACTATATTCCTTAGCTCCAAGCTTCCAGGGGACTTGCTTCAGGTGGTGAAATTCAACATACAAACATTCCCATTAATGCTTTTAGATGCTATTTCAAGTATAGACTATATCCACACTGGTTCTAAAGTGACTTGGTTGGCCTCACTTGCTCTTTTATCTCCACCATGTTGCACAGGAAAGCAGAGACTTAGGAGTATGAGAAGTGTGCTGGGTGTAATATTTCTGCACATAAACCTTCCTTACTTTTTCTAGAGTCTCAAGCATTTTGAGGGTGAGCCCCATGTCTGATTCGTCTTTGTATCTTTCCCATCACCTTCAGCACCATGCCTGGTACATAGCTGGAGCTCACTGAATGTTTGTTGAATGGTTGTATAAATAGTTTGAAGTCTGTGGAAGCAGATGTGACTCTCCAAACTACTAAATCCGGAATCCAACAAGCAAAGAAGAAACGAACCCAATTAATTAATTACGCACTAACTCAGCCAGGTACTGAGCACTTAGAAACACATTTCACCGGGTGGAAGGGAAGAGTTGGAGGGGAAGCTCAGGATGGGTGGATGTGCTTCAAATTCAACAACCTGCCGTTACATCTCCACTTTCTGGGAAACAAAATCTCTCCATGGCCCCAGGGCTCTTTAAATTTTACTGTTACTGTTTTCTCAAGAAATTCCTGGAGCTGAGCCTAACTTTTGTGTAGGGGGTTGGCAACGGGCGTCTTCCGCGGGCCCGGGGGACCGTTGGCATACGGGCTAAGGGGGCGTTTGCACGCGAAGGAAACTTCCGAGGAGTCCGAGCAGCCCCGTGCAGGAGCCGAGTCCTGGTGTGGGGGTCTTACATCGAATTCCAGCTCCTCTGTGAGAATTTGGGGAAAAGCGGATGACCATAGGAACCAGACGTTCGCGGAGCTTAACCAGTTCCCAACCTCTCCCCTCTGCCGGCGGGGAAACGACTTGAGCTTCACGGCCGAACTGGTGACCAACCAGGGCGTCTGGGCCAGACGGAGGGCCAGGGTCAGAGAAACGCGTCCTGGGCTGCGAACTGCTCGCCGGGGCGCCGCCGCCGCCCCGCCCGTCGGGCGTCTGCCCCGCCTACCCCGAGCGAGGCGGAGCCCCGAGGAGCAAGAGCAGAAGCTGGAGGAGGAGAGGTCGGAGCTGTCTCCAGGAGCCCTTAGAGACCGAGTCTCCGGCGGCGGCAGCTGCGGCGGCGGGACAACGCACGGGCAGGCGAGTGTGTACCGAACGGCGGGCGCGGGTGGCGAGTTGGGTCTCCGCGGGGACTAGCGCGCAGCGCGGGGCGTCGGCCGGCGAGTTCAGGGGCCGCCTCTGAGTTCCCGGGGTTGGGAAGCGAGATGGAGGGAGGGAACGGAGGAAGGAAGGAGGGAAGAGTGTCCCGGAGGGCGGGGACTGCTCTGGGCACCGGGCGCCGGAGAAGGGGTGGGGGAGGGAGGGCGAGAGACACCAATGAGGAGTCCGAGACGGCGCGGGCGAGTCGCTGGGGAGGGCGCTGAGCCCTCGACGGGCGGCGGCCCGAGGGCGCGGGAAGCCGGGGGCCCTTCCGAGCTGGGGACGGAGACGTGGATCCTGGGATGGAGGCGGGGGCAGAGGAAAAGTCTCTCCACTCGCTCCCTTCCTCTCGGGGCCTCGGCTTTGCGCCCCGCGCCAGGTTGGAGAGGCCCCTAGTCTTCTCAGCTCTTTGCTGGCGACGGTGCCAGGTTTTGGGGGAGCCAGCCGAGCAATAGAGTCGCGTGGCGGCATCTAGGGACTAGGGGGGACGCCACGCCCCTCTTGTCTACTTTTTTGCTCTTTCTTGGGACCAGCGGGCGGAGCGCAGTCCTGGAACCCGATCTGCGCTGGGGTCTAGCGGGGAAATAGCGGGTTTCAGGGAGGAGAAGCCAGATCACACATCCCGCAGGGGACCTCGAGCAGTGATTCGGAGACTGCCCTTTTGCACACTTTATTTGCAGATAGTAAGAGGAGGCCAAGGCTCAGACATGAGTCTTGGGTAACATATGTATGTATATATGTATTGCCGGGCACTTAAACTGCGTGAAACGGGTGGCTTTTTTAAAAATTAGGGCGTAGCCATTAAAGCTAATTTTAATTGATATGCCCTAATAAAACCAAGGTCTCCCGACACTCACTTGTCCCTTGCCTTGTGTTTGTATGTTGTAAGCCATTCATAACTTTGGAAAAGGAAGTCGTGATTTTTGTTAAACTCGGCTCCGTGGAGTGAAACTTTGAACACCTCGAAATCTAAGTGAGGGAACTGATGAGGTCTGGCATCTTATGGTCATCCTGGCTCGGGTGTGGTTGTATACAAACAAGTGGACAGAAAAGGAAAATGGCCAAAAACCGGAGAGAAGGGAGGCCCCCTTCCCCCACGTGTCAAGGCACGTTTAATGGCTGCTTCGGTGGAAACAAACCAGGAATGTATTAGATCTCGTGGAGTTGGACAAACTTCACATGATTAGCTTCCTTCCCATCAGTTATTTCCTCTCCCGCCTCTGTCTTTGCCGACGCTGTTTATATTTCCTGGAGCAGTTGTAGCCTCTCCTGACTAGATTGTCTATAATGAATCTCTCGGATGTTGTCAGAAGCAGGGTCTGTGTGTGTGCGTTTTCTATTTTAAAAACGGGGTTTGGCTTTGCTTTTAAAGTATAGTCATCAGACTGCCCCATTGCTGGTGCTTCTCGGCTCTGTGTAAATTATCACCGGATCGTGGACCTCGCCTAGGAGAACCAGGAAGGCAGGCACTGCTAGAAGGACAGGATTGGACTTTACTGTTGCCAAAATAATCCTTCAAGTCAGTAAAAATTCAGTAAGGAGCTGTTTTTTTGTTTTGTTATTTTTTAGCCAAAATGCATATATTAGCAGGCTTCTTTTCCCATAAACAGAAACATGTTATTCACACACACACACACACATACTTTAAAAAAAAATTTCACGTAGATTTCCCTGATGAAAGGACTTTAGGATCAAATGGGTTTAGTTCCTTTACCTTCCCTAACAGTTAACCAGTACCATAAAGTACTTACTGGTTTAGGTCCAAAAAATACTGAACAGTTTTAACTACTGTACATTATAAAAATGATTTAAAAAATGGAGTAGTATTGTTTACTGTGTTTAACCCAAGTGATTCATTAGGTATTGAACCCTGACTGGATTTGTGTAGAAATGTATAACGTGTGAATCTTTTTCACAAGAGACTGAAAAGATGAGTATTATAAAAATAATATTTTCTCTGTGGAAAGCTCCAATCTTATTTGAGAGACCAGCTCTCCAACAATTAGATTTGTGGTGTTGGGCTTGTGTTAGAAAGCATGGGTGGTTTATCAAGTTATGAGAGCAAAGGGTTTTACAGTAAAAAAAAATTAAGGAAATATAAATGGTTAGTTAATGTCAGTTTTTTTGAAGTTGTAAGCCTCTCAGTCAAAAATCTTTCAAAATTAGATTGTCGTTTTATTTTTTTATGTTGAAAACCTCTGACAGAAAAAAGCTTTCAAATTTACAATTATGTTATTTATGGTGTTAGATTTGTATTGGGTGGTTTTTTATGTTTTATATGTCAGCTTAAGCTTAATCTAGAGAGTTAAGGTTTGGAAATCAAGTAAATTTTTGAGGTCCAGCTTGGAAGAGAAGCAGTTGAATGGTGGTTTGGGGTGTGTGGGCTTTGGTGTCAGACAGACCTCGATGGGAGTATTAGTTATGTAACCTTTCTCAGTCTGATCTATAAGATGGGGATAATAGTGATCTCTATCTCATACAGTTTTTTTTTTTTTTTAATTTTTGACATAGTTTATTTCTTTGTTGAGAATATATACAGCAAAACATACACTAATTCAACAGGTTCTGCATGTACAATTTAGTGACATTGATTACATTCTTCAAATTGTGCAGCCTTTTCTGAGTTGTTCCTCCCTCTCTAACGTAAACTCACTGCTCTTTAAGATTCCTATCTAATGTTTTGAGATGCTGTTGTGCATTTGATCCCATATGGAAAGATTTAAAAGAGCATAATGCTCAAGGCAAATCTTTTTTACTAGTGAAACTGAACTATAGTTTGGTTTTCAGATGACTTTGGAGGATATTTCTGGTTTAAGGTTTAAAGATTATCTCTGGGCAATAGTTTCAGGGGTTCATCCACCATCCATGGCTCCAGAATGTCTACAGTCCATGAAAATTTGAAATTCTGTTACGTTGTAGAGTTTTTCTGGAAGTATATGAAACAATCTTGGGAAACTACTATACCTAAGACATACTAAATGCTCAAAATTATTAGGTATTTTACTTATCTATCTTGCACAAGCAGATATTTACTTACTTATCTTGCACAAGCAGCAAGCTGTTGGATAAATTACAAGATGGCAGGTTGAACTGAAAATGCTAGATAGAGCAATTTTAAATTCCAAAGACGGTATCTGATACATAAATAGATCAATACATAGATAGATATAGATATCATATATTTATATGTGTGTACACACACACACGCGCACACACACACACACACACACACACATGCACACACCGGCCCCAACCAAAACATCAGCAGTTCGAATCCACCAGCCGTTCCTTGGAAACCCTCTGGGGCAGTTTTACTCTATTCGATAGCGTTGAACGCAACGGTGTTTTTGTTTTTTAAATATGTATGTGTTATCCTTCTACCACATCAGTATGAGTATTTGTGACTAAAGGATTACTAGTTTTAATATGCTTTTAGTGCTGAAGTTTCAGTCATACAATTAGAGCCAGGTGATCAAAATATTTTGTCAATTATCTTTAAAATTTAAGAGAATTTATGTTTCAAACAGTCATGGTTATTACCCCTGAATAGGAAATTATACCAGGGACAGAAGAAGTATTTGTCTTTAACCAAATCTGATTTTTAATTACAACGTGAAAAAATATGACCCAAGGGTCTCTGGTTATTTACTTTTTCATGTACTGATGTCTAATGCCAACAGATAAGCCATTAAAAAGTGTTTAGGACTGATTATGATTGTTTATTTTTAAATTTTAATGTGAAAATGAATGTTCACTTAATTTGTAGGATCTACTCATCACATCATTGAATCGTTTTCAAAATTTAAAAAATGCTTCCAATTTAAAAGAAACCCTTTTAAGCTGTTGTTTTTCTAATGCACATCAGGTGCACAGAATTGGACTAATTGTAATCTTAAACGCATGTCACAGATGAGCTCTCATTTTACTAATTGTTCCCAAGGGATGCAGAGATGGTGGTTTATAATATTTTTAAATAACTCTAAAGGGTACTATATTATTATGCATGGTTTCTTGCCTATGACATTATACACTGAAATAGCGGAGGGCTTGATTGAATGAACTATTGATTCTTTTCACTCCTAGGACATTATAGATGGAATCCTGGCTCATATTTAATATGTCTGTGCCTCAGTGAGGTGTTGTGAGGAGTAAATCAGTTAATCCACGTAAAGCATTTACAGCAGTGCCCGGCACATAGTCCATGTTCAATAAATATTAACGTTAAATCATCACTTACTGAAATTGTCTTTTTCGTTTTTCTAAATGTTATATGATAAGTATGTATTTTTGAAATAGTAAACCAATGACAGAAAATTTTAATATTTCTCAAAATTCTAAAAAAACCGTAACTTAAAAAATGCTTACAAAGTAGGAGAGTATAATTAGGTAACTGTCATTGCATCTCCTAGATGTGAAGTGGATTGCAGTATTTCTTTAATTTGTTCAAACAAAATTATTCTTTTAGATCTCAATCCTATTTTCCTTTTTTTTTTTAAATTTTCTATTGTGCATTAGGTGAAAGGTTACAGAGCAAATTAGTTTCCCGTTTGATAGTTTGTCCATAAGGTATTCCATAACATTGGTTTCATTCCCCACAGTGTGTCAACACTCTCCCCATTTCAATCCTAGGTTCCCTGTTTCCTTTCGTGCTGATTTTTTATCCCTTCCTGCCTTCTCATCTTTGCTTTTTGGCAGATGTCACTCTTTTGATCTCGCATAATTGATTGCTATTTTCCTTTTATATTAGAAATTTAAAGAGTCGGTAACCCGTAAAGTCCATGTTATGATAGGGTAAGTAGGGGAAAGGCAGTGTGCACAGTCACGGTGCATCATTACAGTTACAACTGGGTTAAAAGGATTTTTTTTAATAGAAAAAAAGGCTGACAGAAAATATAGATAAGTAAGTGGTGGGATTATGGTGCTCCCCCCCTTTTTTCCTCCCAC